AAACTCACCCGATTAAGAAAAGTGGTGAAGAGAAGACAAAGTTCAAGAGGGGCAAACAAAAGAGGCAAAAATTCTCTATCTCCACCTTAAAAATTTTAGATTCGAAAGTAGAGGAGGAGTTAAAAAATTACTATCTTATGGATAATGATAATATTGATCAATCATATCAAGATTAGGTATGTTAACTTTCCGATTGTGAATTACTTATTATTTCTAAAAATATTCATAATCCATACAGGAAGCTAAACAAGATGTATACTAGTTTTAATACTAAATAGTCTATTTTGTATAAGGACCATACAAGTTTAATTACCAAGCATTCAAATTTAGATAAGGATAACATGACCTTGCTTGACAAATATGATTCCTTAAACAAGAAGCATATCGACTAAGCTAATGCACATAAATCCCTTAAAACATTGCATATTGAACTATAAAATGCATTTAAAAGATTATAAGCATGTGTATTATAAATAAATAGTTTAGAGCATACATAAAAAATTTAAATTTCCATTCATAAAAGTGAAAACAAATTATTAGAAGCAAACCTAACTACAGTTGAGAATAATAAACCACCGCCTACTGTAAAATAATATCATAAGCCCTCAACAAAGCATGCATTACATAAACCTAGGAAGAGGCGCCAAGATGCACATAGGTTAATAAATCTATTTCCTAGAGTTAGGTGTTACTCTTTTAGCATGCTAGGTCACATAGCTCACACTTGTACAATCCATAGTTGAACACATCTAGTATGGTGGCCAAAATTACATTCATCACTTCATAGCATGCATTCATGTTATACATTTAGCCATAAGGCGGATCTGAAACACACTTGGGTTCCCAAATCTTACCTTTAAAATAACTATGTAGGGCCACTCTAACAAAAGTACTAGCAAGAGCATGTGGTGTCGGATAGTGGATGCTCGAGGCACATAATTTGTGATATGAAGTAGATCATCACACTGGAGGCCAATTCAAGAGGCAAGGTGACATTAGAATATAACTCCACAAGGAAAGTAGTAGGCTCAAGAAATAATCTATAATACTAAAACATTTATTATTGAAAGTGTTTTATTAGTTGATGGTCTAAAGAATAATTTACTGAACATTAGTCAACTATATGATAAAGTTTTGACATTAAATTTCTTTCTACAAAACACATAATAAATTTAAATGAAAAACTTTTGTTAGAAGGAAAACAAATAAATAATATATATACATGCTAGACTTGAACTGCTTTGAAAACTTAATTTCTATATGTTTGAAAACAATTGTTGATGATTCTTGGATATGTCATATGAGACTATATCATGTGAGCATCTAAACTCTTTAAAAGATTACACAAAAAGACCTAATTAGAGGTATAACTAAGTTAGGCTTTACTAAGAACCACCTATGTGATACCTACAAACTAGGAAAATAAGTCAGGTCTTCATTTCATTCAATTAAGGACATCAACACCTCTATGCAAATAGAAATCATTCATATGGACCTATTTGGACCTTCTAGTACAACCACCCTAGCAGGGAATACATATGGATTTGTAATAGTAAATAATTAATCTAGATTTACTTAGGTTATATTCCTAGTACATAAGAGTGAGTATTTTGAGGAATTTAGAAAGTTTTCTACTTGGATTCAAAGAAAATTAAGATGTGAAATTTTAACCATTCATAGTGATCATGGTGGAGACTTTAAAAATAATATTTTTTATCCTTCTATCAAGAGATATGTATAGAGCATAACTTCTCTACCTCTAGGAAGACCCAAATGAATGGAATAGTTGAGAGAAAAAATAAAACCTTAGAAAAAACTATTAGGGAAATGCTTGTTGAATATACTCTCCCTCGATACATTTGGGTAGAAGTAGTAAATACTTCTTGTTATGTTTTGAACATGGTGAATGTTAGATCCAAGATGAAAATGACCCCCTATGAACTATTTAAGGGTAGGACACCTACTCGATCCCACGTATATAGACTTAGAAGTAAATGCTTTATCTTAATAAATGAAAAATCACCTTTAGGAAAATTTGATCCAAAATCTGAAGAAAGAGTCTTCTTAGGTTATTCATCTATATGGAAGGCCAGCAGATTCTTTAATTAGGGGACCTTTGTAGTAAAAGAGTCTACCCATGTTATGTTTAAAGAATAAGATATGACCTATAAATCTTAACCTGAAGAAGAAGAAGTAACGGACATTCAAGGGGTATAAGCCATTGATATAGGAGATAGAGTAGAACCTTAGGAGCATTTTCCTAGAGATTGGAGATATTTTTTAATCATCCAAAAGAACTAATCTTAGGAGACCCATCTGAAGGATTTAGAACTAGGCATAGACTTAGGAAGGAGGTTAGTCATTATGTATTGATCACCATTTTAAAACCCACCAACATAGATTAAGCCTTATATGATGAATTTTGGATCATAAAAATGCAAGAAGAATTAAATTTATTTCTTAGAAATGATGTTTGGGATTTGGTGAGTAGACCTAAAGACCAGAGTATTGTTTGAAGAAAGTGGGTATTCAAAAATTAAATGAATGGCTCTTTAATGGTAATAAAGAATAAGGCTAGGTTAGTGGCTAAGGGGTACAATCAGATTAAAGGGATTAATTTTGAATAAATTGTTGCCCTTGTTGCTAGACTAGAAGTCATTAGGGTGCTCTTATCCTTTGCTTGGTTTAAAGGATTTAAGCTATATCAAATGGATGCTTTGAGTGCATTCTTAAATTAGGTAATAAAAAAGGATGTATATGTTGAGTGGCACCGAGGTTTTGTGAACTCAAAATTATCAAATCATGCGTTCAAACTAAAGAAGGTCTTATATGAGATGACATAAACACATGGAGCCTGGTATTAAAGACTGAGCTCCTTCCTTCTAGATATAACCTTTATTAAGTGTAGTGTAGACACCATCCTCTTCATAAAGAAAGAAGGACAAGTCCTACTCATAGTACAAATCTATGTTGATGATATATTATTTAGATGTACAAAAAAAAAACTTTGTGACAAATTCTCAAAAAGTATTAGTGAGGAGTTTGAGATGAGTATGATGGAAGATATGAATTATTATTTTGGATTTTTGTATAAAATAGATGGATGATGGAACCTTCCTTAGCCAATATAAATACATCAAAGACAATCTTTAAAAATATGAAATAGATAATGCTTAGGAAATAAACACTCCCAATTTTTTCTTCTATCTGAGAGAGAAACCGTATTTCAATTTGAATTTGTCTCTCCAGCGATTTTTTCTCCGACTGGTGGCGCCGCCGCCGGCAGCTTCTTGGCGTCCTAGGCTGACGTCATGGTAGCTCCGCGTCCTTCCAGTCCTTTCAGATGTAGAGGGAGAAGTGGTGTGGTTATCAGAGAAGGATCGTGATCTGTGATCCATCCAATGGTGATAGAAGGGAAAGGTAAGAAGATCTTGAATGAAGATTTTGCTTATCAGTTAGCTGCGGAAACTACTGGAGATGATAAGAATTGTGCTCTTAACAATCTTGAATCATCGGAGATAAAGAATACCATCTTGAAGGTTAATTCCTTTTCTGGGATAAATCAGTCTCGTCATGTTCAGGACAATGGTAATCACAACCCTATGATTGATGGAAATTTTGGATCTTCTAACAATTCTGATAAGGCTCCTTTGAGCGAATCCTTAAAGGACAACGTACATAATGATGTTGGAGAGGTAATTGGAGCCTGGTCGAAGCCAAAACCTATCAAGATTGATTTTAAAAATGAACAAGTTGAAGTTTCGGAGGATGGTATTGCTGTGAAACTCAATCTAGTGGTTGAAGCCAAGAATTCAGAAGTGCTGAAGAATTCGATCGTTATTAAAGTACTAGGAGGTAATGTCCCCTACTCAGTATGCAGTTTTGATCTGAGAAAACAATGGAACAAGTTTGGCGGATTTGACATGACCTCAATCGATATGAATTGGATACTCTGCTCCTTCAAGACTAATGAGGCGGTTGATGAAGTTTTAAACAGTGGACCGTGGTATGTTAATGGGTACATAGTTGGTATGGATAGATGGTCTTCGATATTTGATCCATATTCATTTAAAGGAATCTCAGCTCCGGTATGGATCAGACTATCGTGTTTACCTCTGTATTGTTGGGATGAAGACAGTTTTGCAAGAATTTCTTCTCGGATTGGCACACAGCTATATTTAGATGGAAATACTTTCCGTTGGGGAAAGAGAGAGTTTGCTCGTATTTGTGTTAAGATTGATTTGGAAAAAAAGCTCCCAAATGGTGTCTGGATCGATGGTCTTGCTGGAAGATTCTTCCAAAGAGTCGAATATGAGAAATTGAATTTACTATGCTATCACTGTGGTCGAGCGGGACATGAATTAAATGCATGTCCTGAGAAGGTTGTGCTGGGTATTAAGAATCAAGCTATAGGTAACTCTGAAGAAAGCACTGGTGAAGGAAGGAAAACAGAAGGAGGAATTAAAAATGCAGTGACTAATGAGGAGTATGGTCCCTGGATCCATGTCCAGTTTAAAAATAGACTGGTTTATAAAAATCTGAATGGAAACAGAATTGACAATGCTATCAAGAATAAAGGGAAGGATAATCCGGGGAAGAACATTCAGATAGAAGGTTTGCAAGTGCAGAAATTACAGGTGAAAGAAATCTCTGCTAGAGAAGCCAATGCACATAAAGAAATCAATGCAAGCAAAGAAGCCGAATCAAGAAACTTTAAAGAAGGAATAAGTTTGAATAATGCTTTCGAGATTCTTAATGAAGAGAATGAAATTGAAGGTCAAGACTTTCAGGATGATGTTTCTAATTTGCTGATTAAGAGGAAGGAAGGATTGAAAGATAAAGCGGTGAATGATTGTAAATCCAATTTGGCAAGTTCTGCTAAAATAAAGTTGGCCAAGGAGCTGAGATCATTGGGCCCGGTTGATTAAGAAATTAAGAAGAAAAAAAGAGAAGCACGTATGGTGTCCACAAATGGGGTAAGTTCCCCTTCTGTTACTTAAATGTCTTCCCTTCTATTTTGGAACTGCAAAGGAGCTAGAAAGAGGGAAGCTGCTCTGTATTTGAAAGAAGTGGTTAAAGATCAGGATGTTTTTTTCATTGGCCTTATGGAAACTAAGATAAGTAATATCAATAGGATGGATGTTGATGTTCTTATTGGTAAAGAATGGGATTTCTATCATTTCCCTTCGGTTGGACTCTCAGGTGGCATTTTAGTTTTATGGAATTCAAAGATTGGGAACTTTGTGATTACTAAGACTTCTTCTCAGGTGATTGTCGGAGACTTATTTATCCCTAGATTGGGATTTTGGAGAATTGCTACCGTATATGGTAGTAGATGCTGTAAGGAGCGTGAAACTTTATGGAGCTTGCTGGATAAATGTATGGTAAGGTCAATTCCTTCCATCATTGGCGGAGACTTCAATTGTGTGCTTAACAAAGATGAAAAAAGAGGAGGCAAACGGTTCCATTTTACCAAAGGACCTAGAGACATGAAGAACTTTATGACTAGTTGTGACTTTCACGATGTGGTTATTATTGGACCAAGATATACTTGGTGTAATAATAAAGTAGGGAATTCCAGGATTTGGGAGCGGCTTGATAGATGTTTATTGAATTCTACAGCCTTGAAATTACTTCCTACAGCTGCCACTAGGCATCTTGCTAGGGTGGCTTCGGACCACAATCCTATTACATTCAAGGTTAATGATAAGGAACGTGCAAGGACTAAAATCATAAGATTTGAAGATACTTGAAGAATGTATCCAGCGGCTAAAGGCATTGTTTATCATTCTTGGATGAGGAATGATCGTGGGGAGGAAGGCTTGGTTCTTCAAAAAGAAGACTAATAGAACTTTAAAAGCTCTATTTTTTTGGAGTAGGAGTAAATGCAAAGACTTAAATGATCTTAAAATAAAGTTGAAGATGGAAATTCTGGAACTTCAAGCTAAAGAAGCTCTGGGTATTTATTGGACATCTCAAGACATGCTTTTACTTAGAAGCAAAATTCATGATCTTAATGTAACCTTGAAGAGATTATCTACTTGGTGGAATCAAAGGGCCAAAGCTAGGTGGCTTGAGGAAGGGGATTTCAATTCCAAGCTTTTTCACAATTTTGCAACGGCTAGAAGGAATGGTAATAGAATAAATCAAATTAAAGATGCCCATAACATGATGCAAATTGAAGAAGAAGATATTGAAAAGGTCCTTATTCAGTATTTTGAATCTAAGTGGAAGAAGAGAAGTTGTCAACTTTCAGGTTGGCCGCAGATTTTTTAGCATTAGAAGATTAATAATGAGGATATTCAGGATCTTAACACAACATTTTCTGTGATGGAGCTCAAGAACTCTGTCTTCCAGCAAGGTAACAACCGTTCCCCAGGTATGGACGGTCTCACTTCCTCCTTCTATAAGCATTATTGGGATATTGTTTGGAAAGACTTATGGAATGCTGTCAATAGTTTCTTTACCAATGGGTGTATGAGGAAAGAGTGGAAAGACACTCTTATTGTTTTGATTGCAAAAGTTAAAAATCCTATGCTTCCATCCAATTATCGCCCTATTAGCTTATGCCAGACAAACTACAAGATTGTTGCTACTATGATAGTCAATAGATTGAAGACGTGTATGTCCAAGCTGATTACTGAGGAGCAAATGGCATTTATTCCTGGGAGATCTATTTCTGAGCATTGTCTCTTGGCTCAGGAGATTATACATAAGTTTAAGATTTCCAAGTAATAGAAAAGGAATGATGGTTTTGAAGCTTGATAATGGAGCATAGCTTACGATAGCATGGGATGGCCTACCTTGATAATGTCCTCAAATGGTAATGGTTTCCTACTATGATTTATGCTATAACTCATATGGAAATGTATTAATGATTGTTAGATTGTTATTATTATTAATGGAGAAAATCTTAATGGATTAATGGGCTTATAGTGGTTCGTCAAGGGTGTCAATTACCTTTCTTTTACATATTGCTCTCAATTGCTTTCCAATCCATTGCATAAAAGGGTAGTTATATTGGAATTAAATTTCTCCAAGGGGTTCCAAAAATTACTCATCTCTTATAATGCTGATGGACGTATTATTTTTCACAATGCTCAAAAGATATTGCTAAGGAGGTGAAGCGTATTGTTGAATGACTTTGTATGTTGGACTGGACAAAGGGTCAATGATAGTAAATCTCAAATCATGTTTGGTAATGTTGTTTGGCAATCGGATGAGGAAAAAGAACTAAATCTTGAACATTCAAATGTCAAGGGAGATGGAATTATCTCTTGGGATCAAGTAATCCTTAATCGGTTAAGGGCTGCAGATTTTCATGACATCTTAACCAATATGATGGACAGGCTTAATACTTGGGGAAAGAAATTTCTTTCTTTAGGTGGTAAGGTTACTCTTATCACTAGCTCTCTTTTGACAATGCCTAACTACTTGATTACTCACTCCATGATCCCTAAGAAGGTGTTGCTCACTATGGAAAAACTTTGTAGAAGTTTTATATGGGATAAGTATGATGGTAGTCATGGTATTCATTACATTGCTTGGGAAGATCTTTGTAAACCAAGAAATATGGGAGGCTTGGGTTTATAATCACCAACTTTGAAGACTGGACCGTTAAGAGCTAATCTTTCTTGGAATTTTTTACAAAAACCTGATACTTTGTTTCATAGAGTTATGAGAGCTAAATATGGTAATAATATCTTGAATGGCACCCATAAGAAGAGCACGTCTAAAGCTTGGAGAATCTTACTTGATGGTGGAAAATCTCTTAAAAACATTACTAGATGGAATATTGGTAATGGCAAAGATATCAATGTGTTGAATGATAGCTGGATCTATGACAAAAGTATCAACCAATGGCTGACTTTTGCTGATTATTCTGCCTTGGAAGGACTTTGTGTTCAACATTTAATGTTGGATAATGGCCAATGGAATTCTAATTTAATTCAGAAATGGTTTCATCCGGAACTTGTGAAAGTTATCTGCAATATCCAGATTAATTCCAGCAATATTGATATGCTGGAAATGCAGAATTTCTGTCCTGGAAAAACTATTTCTGGATTGGCTTTTCAAAAAGTTTTAAGATGAAAATTCAATCTAACTGATGATGGCTACTATAATTGGCTCAAAAAGCTGAAGCTGAGCAAGAAGGTGGAAATGTTTTGGTGGAGACTTGGGAATGCATTTATTCCTACCAACTTGTATCTTAAAAATCATAAGTTTCTTGATATCGATTCATGTGCTAGAGGTTGTGAAACGGTGGAGAACTATGAGCACATCATTGTTCAATGCAAATATATGGTTGAGATCATCAATCAGCTTGTGAACTGGAGTATTCCTATCCCAATTTTCAATTCCTTTGATCATTGTCTTAAGGAGCTTAAGAAAATTTCAGCTAAAAATCTAGGTATTGTACAAATTTGTTGTACTATTGCTTACTTCTCTTGGAAAAACAGAAATGAGATAAAGCATGGAAAAACTGCAATTCCTTCTTATTTGGTGGCTTCTAATGCTTTATCAGTGGCAATTACTAAAACAAGTCAATTTCTTTCTAACTGGAGCACTAATCTCCTTAGGGAGTCTCAAGCATCTTGGTGCCCCCCACCGAAAGAGTGGATGAAAATCAATATTGATGCTTCCTTAACATCTTCAGGATTGGCTGGGATTGGAGGTGTTTTTCGAGATTGTAATGGTAGATTCATTCTTGCATTTCGGAAGAAGATGATGCATTGGGATATTGCACAGCTGGAAATGGGAGCTATTCTCTCGGTCAAGGACTACGTCAAAAGTAGGATGAGGGACTATAAAGGGGTGATATTGGAAAGTGATAACATGAATGTTATCAACTACATTCAAAAATCTTTGAAGCAGAACAAAGGTACCGTGATCTTCAAATTAGTAAGTGATTCTTTATTTGTGAATGATTTCAATAAAGTTGTCTTTGTACATGCTTATAGAGAGTGTAATAAGGTAGCCAACTTGTGTGCTACTATGGCTTTAGATGACAGTTTTTACTTTGACAGTTTTTATTTTGATGATATCCCTCCCTTGATGGCTAATTTAATCAAGGAAGAATATCATCCTATTCTAAATTGTAACTAGTTCTTTACTTTTTTCTACTTAATGCATTCTGCATTTCTTCAAAAAAAATAAAAATAAATAAACACTCCCATGAGCTATGCCATATAATCAGATAAGGACCCAAATGGGAAGTCAGTAGATTAGAAGAAATATAGAAGAATAATTGAATCATTTCTTTACTTGACTCATAGCAGACCAAATATTATATTTAGTGTTTACTTATGTGCTAGAATTCAGGCTGACCCAAAAGAATCTCACTTGACTGCTATTAAGAAAGTCCTTAAATATCTACTAGGAACCCAAAACTTAGGAATATGGTATCCTAGGTATAACACTTTCCTTAAAATCATAAGATATTCTTATTTAGGATGTAGGGTTGATAGGAAAATCACTTTTGGAACCTACAAATCATAAGATAAGCTTTAATTTCTTGGTCATTAGAAAATAAAACTATGTAGCCCTATCTACCACTAAAGCTAAATATATAGCTCTAGGGAGTTGTATTGTACAAGTCCTATGGCTTAAACAACAAATCTTTGATCCTGAACTAACTGTTGGCACCATTCAAATGATATATGATAACACTAATGCCATTAGCATTTCAAATAATATTATGCAATAATTAAAAACTAAACGCATAGACATTAGGAAAGAATTCATTGGAGATGAGATAAAAGGGGATATAGAGCAACATCATGTAGCTACTAAAGATTAATTGGTAGATGTATTTACGAAACCCCAAGCCTGTGGTACCTTTAGCACCTTAAGGACTGGATTAAGTGTCATAAACATTCATGCTTAACTCGAGATGAATCAAACATGGTCATCATTTAAATTAGCAATTTATATGTGTTACATTATTTGTGTTCTTTTGATTCATGTCTTATCATTTTTTTTAAATAAAACAAGTTATTTTCTTATCATCACAGACATACTATTTACTAAATAAAAATTTTGAAAACCAAAATATTCTTTTTTTATTGTATGATCCAATATTTCACAAATCACAACCATAAGCCAAATTAAAGGGCCATATGAGTATAATTATTAGTGATCATACTATATGAAACATCCTTTATATTGTATGAAACATTTGTGAGAATCTTTAGGGGCTAATTCAATATGGTCAGTATGATCGTTATTGCATTTTATACTAAACAAACATCCATTCATATTATATGATACATATGTTAGAATCTATTAGTATTAATTCAATACGTTCGATTCAATCATAATTGTTATTCATACTCTATGAATAATTTATTGCACTATATGATGAATTCTGTCAAAATTAATTCAAAAAACTCCTCGGGATGATCATAATTCCTTAAGATCAACTAATACAATAATGTCCGTATTGAATGATTTGACAACCTTTTTTCTAACAAGTCATTAAAACAATTTAACTCCTTCGATCGTACTATACAAATTGCTAAAATCTATAAATTTGGGAGTTTTTCAAAATTTTCAATTAATTAACTTATCCTTCCTTCAAACTCATAATCTCTTCAATCTAAACTCCTCAGTGGTTGATGGAAGCAAATATGGTAGAAAGACCAAAGGAAGCTCCTTATCCTCTCATTGCTTTGACTATCAATTTCTATCTATGAGAGATGAAGATGGATACTATAAGTTTAAGGAGGTTTGAATCACCCCATTTAGAATGCTA